CCCCCCCCCAATAAAAGCAGGCTCATTGGCTACGCAGGTAGTGACCCAAATCTGTCGCTACAGATCCCAAGCACTGCCAGAAATAACCCGGGGCAAATTTTTCGAAGAATTCTACCTCAAACCAGTGCGGTTACCTTCTGTCGAAGCCCAAACGCTGGCACAGGATCAGTAACATTGGAGATACTATCTGATGCATCTACCTTCTGCGACTCACAGTGATATGCGGTCATCTAAACTGGCTTACTGATTATATTTCAAATACTGAATCCGGATTTACACGGCGAAAATATACTGTTTCAAATGTGAAATAATTTTATTTACTTTACAACCCGATACTGCAATGGAGTAAAACAGATGGGAATTATTACTCCTGAATATACTGCAACACCACCTTACTTCGAGTTGACTAGGAGGACCATTTAAGCAGGTTACGGCACCATGGTATTTAAGCGCCTGTTGTGCACAGGACGCACGATCTTCATTGAGTTAGGCCGAACTAGGCCCCATTCAAATACCAACAAGATATGCCAGCAAACATAAAGATAGAAAAATAACACAACCCGATGATTTGAAGACATCATAAAAGAAGAAGTTCAATATATACTCTTCAAAATCTTTGTGCTCTGGAGTACGCAGATGACATGTGATACGGCAGGTGACACTTATTCGCAAGGCAGATAAAAACAAACAAAACCCTACCTTCACGTGAAGTGTTGAAGATAATAAAATAATGCACATTGAAATGTGCTGCAAGAAAGTAAGTAGAATCGTGACTTGTTAGTCTAAAGTTAAGCTCTGCGAACTTTTGCTGTATGATGTTCAGTAAATCACTGCTTAATTCTTTCGCACGAAAACTAATAGAGCCAGTGATACACCCGCGTCAGACATATAGTTTATTTATGCTGTGTTTATTGCAATCATAACTTTGTTGGTTTATTTATACACAACGCAAAAAATTTTGTCAGTCGTTGTCGTTAACTGCATCTCCAGGTCCTTCTTCAAGGTAAATAGGCAAGCTGACTCCGGAAGGACTAACCGCTAAATGGCCAAAAAATTTCCGAAATCAATAAACCTGTCTATTATAAAAAAGACCCGTGCGATGGATAAGATACGTCGGTAATAATCAATCGGATGATGAAAACGAAATACTCAATCGTCATACATCTGTTGAACTCGATGGAAATGTACAGTCATTAACTTTTTCATATCAGTCCAATCTGTCAATACAAAATGATTTAAACCAGAAGTCAGAAACCGACCTACAAACAAAATTCAAAAAAAAGTTAACAGGCATACTTTGACGTTGTTCATCTGCGACCAACTTGTGTTGTCGCTATACGCCAGGCTCGCTCTGCTGAAAGAAGCCAACGGCTGCTAAATGTTGAAACTTCATCACTTGAAATTCAAAATAGATTTTAAACTTACGTGTGGTAGAAAAAAGATAAATATCGGTCTTTTAAGCGAAGAAGCACATAGATCATATAAATCTTTGCTAGAAGCTATCAACTCGCTAAAACAAGAAACGTCTTCAGGGAACAACTTCTTGTGAAACTTCTTCAATTACTACCTGCCGACATTCCAAGCTATGGACCAGCCATAAGTGCTTGGCAATAACAAGGCTAACAAAACAAGATACATTATTCAGTTTCCAAAAAACAGTTTGCCGCTTTTACAATACTCCAGTATCGCCATTTATCCGTGTGATTCCGTGAAAAATACTACAGTATTTCTAATAAGATTTGCAAGTAAAAAAAAAGTTTTGAACAATCATATTCGCAATAACGGTATTATAACCAATTTCGTTCATATGTTAATGGTCATACTGAAAAACAATATGTAACACGATTTATTTGTAGACAGCACAAAGAATAATGCGCTAAAATAATTTCTTTACCAACGGAAGGTTTCGGCTCGTGTCTCATGTGTTCTCTTCAACGTTGATAGTGTGTGGTAGACTTTTTTGCTGCCCACAACGCTCTTAGACTTGAAGCCAAAAGGCAAGTTTTGATAAACGCTGCTAGTTATATAATTTCTGGGCGAAAAAACTCATCAAATCTTTACGAAGTTTTTTTTGCCACTGCTAACATTGGCGCAGGACTGGAGGATCAATGTCGACTTGACACCCCGTGTAATCAGCCTTCTCTAATGATAGCGGTGAACTCTGAACCTCGGGAAATGTTCTTGCTGTGCCAAGTGCT